AATCTGTTTAACACTCCGACAGTGCCCGAAGGTGAAGGAGGAGGAGGATCATCGGCGATGTTTGTTGATCCAAATTCTGGTGGTTACTATTCGAGTAACATGACTACTATGTTCATGCCTCCAGGTACGCAGTTTTATCAAAACCCCCCAAGATCTTGATTAAATCAAGAACTCGAGTTTTTTCTTTTATAATGATGATTCTATATATGTAATGCGTGTGTTTTTTTTTTCATCAATGATCATATGTAATACTTAGACGACATTGCAAATCGGATCAACATTTGCATGCCTGGCTGTTCTTATGAATACTGTATGTGTGTAATTTTTTTTTTTATATAAATTGTAATGAATCTTTAATATAAATATTTATCATTTGTTGTGTGGCTATAAACATGTATTTTTTTTTTTTTGGTTCTCGATACGTTTTATTTTTCCATGTTTATGCCGATGTTGCCGGTTGCTTCTCCCATTGGATAAAGTCGAGAAATTCTTGTGTTATAATATTGAATAAACTGTAGTATTTTCATTAGGTCTAGTGAAGTCTAGATGATTTATAATATACTCAGAACTATATCTTCTTCATAAAGCATTAACTATTTTATATTGTTATAATGTTACTGTAAAATTAGTCTATCTAGATTTGAAGGTAAATTAATTAAAGTGAATTAAATAGTGAAAACGACAGGAAAGCAAATGAGGGTAAAGTTTTTCAAAATGTAAGTTAAGATTATATATAGTACTGGCCGATCCTATATATTGTCAATTCTATACTCATAGTGTTCTACTTCGCAATGAATTGGTGTTTGAATAATTTAAGAAGCTCTAAAACTAGTTGGTTTTATCTACCAATGCTCTAACCACAGCTAGGCATGATGCAAGAACAATTTATATAATTAATCCACGAGTTTCTTCATACATTTAGAACTTAATTACCATGCATCATGTCAATGTATAATTATTTATTCGTAAGATCTAGTGAAAAAGTCTCCTAATAGAACGTTTCTTAGTGTTAAATCAGTTTTAAGATCATACAAAACACTAAAATAAAATGGTCCATAACTAACAAAGTATATATAAAAAATCACTTTCCTTCTCTTTATTGAAGCCAATAATCTATAGCACAATACCAAAAATTAGCTTCTTCTTATATTAATTCCAGTATTGTCTTCTTCTAAAAAACATTAGCCATAAGATGTGCATCAATATCATGAAATCATAACCAATGAAAGGTTTGGTAATAGAAAACAAGCCATCATTTAAATATTTCAATATATAAAAAGGCTCATTCATAGAATTTGTAAGCCTTTCTTGCTAATCTAATTGCACACACGTTCACCTGAAGTTAGGAAACCATATAAAAACAATGCTTATATAGCTTACTTAATCCTAGTTTGGCAAATTAGACACGTGTGAACTATGTATAACACGTTCACTTTGGTGACAAAAAATTCAAGAAGAGAAAATAAAAAAACGATGATCACCTGATCGTTCACATAGTTTCAGCCTCATGAACGTGCCTTGAATCGCAAGTCACCCATCCTCCTTTGATTTTGAACTCTCCAAGAGTGAAGGAACACAAACTATAAGAGATATGGTTTCTGGTTGGATTTGAGTTCAAGAAGACAACATA